TCCTTTTCCTTTTTCTCACCCAAAATGCTGAAAACAAGCAAAATTTGTTTCTTCTAAATTTAAATAATTATTTAAAAAAGATATTCCCTCATATATACAGATATAGGCTCTTTTACTTATGTAGAACTCTGTGCTCTTTACCCCGACAGGAAAGGATAAGTTGTTCCTAATTCTATTTGTGCTTTTCTTAGAAAATCTTTGCTAATTCCTAATCTGAAATGTTATTAATTACCCACGACTACTTTCATAAATTATTGTTTCTATATTATTGAATATTATAAAATCCGATATTGCATAGAAAGTTGTTTTTAGATCCCAAAACCATATTTTTAAGGTATTTAATTCATAGGTTTGGTATAGATAAAATATTATTGAAGTTCCAATCAGGCTTGTTGGATGTCCAAATCTATATTCTACTATGTAAATATTATCAAGTAAACAACTTCCTTCATTACCTCCTTCAATATAAATTTTATGATTTTAGAAATTACTCCTCCTCTACACATATTTAACACATTAAATAATTTCCTCTTATGATTGATTTAATTGTTGTATCTGTCTTTTAACAAATCTAATTAGTCACTAATTCAATAATAATTAACAACAATGATGTTGATAGAATGTTATTTTTCTATTTCATTTTTAATTTTAATTAAGTGATTTTATTATGAGTATTCAATAGAATTTTAAGAATTCAAAAAGAATTTAAAATCTTTTATCCTACTTTATCTCATTCAAGAAGAATCAGTTTCATGTCTTATTTCATAAAGTAAGATATAAAACAAAAGTAAAATTTAGCTTTATTAAAATAGTTACTTTAGATGTACTCAAAGAGGAATAATATTGAGTGTATTGGATTACATGGTAATCTTTAATTAATTTGCTATCGGTATTGATTTCATTCTGGTTGTTTTTTTATTAACTTCCAATTCTAAATCCATTTGTTTCTAAACGACTTATTAAATCAGCCCAATTTATAATCTATTCAATTTTTGTGAAAAAATCTTTGAAAGCAACAACCCAGCCTCAAAAATTATCTGGTCAAATGGATTTAACTTTTAGTAACAAATCATCTAATCTAAAAAAAAAGATTGGATATGATTTAGAGAAACCATCTCTTTAATTGAAAAAATTCAGATTCTAAATCTTACCTTCTATAAATTCAATGAATATGCTTTCCTCATCATAAAAATATTATATTAACAATGAAATCTAAAATAATAAAGAATATAAGATTTTACAGCCAAGATATATGGGAAATTCCCTGCAATTTTAAACAATAATCCCACCAGAAAATATATTAATAAGGGGATTATTACAAGTGGCTACACATAATTTTAAACTATACTTAATGAATTCTTAGTTGAATATTAATATGATTTCATTTTTATCATATTCAGATATATAAATCTAGATAAAACTAAAATAATTCTAAAATTGGAAATCTATTATTATAAATAATAATTGTATAATTTTTTTGTTGTTTTAAGATAACAAAATATAGATATTCCAATTTAAAGGTATCAAAAAGAACTGTTCAAAAGATACAAAATAAAACATAATATTACTCAAAGGTAGAAGATATAATATATAGATTGAGTTTATTATAATATCATTGATGAAGGAGTTTTACCTAGAGATGCACCAAGTAATCTCTTAAGAAACCTACCTTATTATGAAATTGTTCAAAAAAATTTATTTGTCTTTTGACTCCAGTTTGACAGTTCTAGCAATTAGTTATAGTTTCTCTAATATTTTGACTTCAATTATTTCTTGACCATTCTTTGTTTTTTCATCCATTTGAAGATTGTCCTCGTAATATTTTTTTTCCAAAATTGAACACAATTTATAATTCTTGCAATATCTATTTTTCAAGATTTTTATTTTTGATTTTAAAATACATTAAATTATTCTATGTGATATTTCTTTGTTTTTTTGAGAAGGGCTGTAGAGAATAGTATTGATTCACTTCACTATATTAAAAACTATCAATTCCAATAATTTGATTATTTTAAGGTTAACAGGTAGGATTAATAGATATGAGCCATCAAAAATTGTAAATTTTTGTAAAAATCCAAATTGAACTTTAGAAACAAATTTTAAATTTATTAAACTATTTGAAAAGGATATAAATTGAAATAAATAAGAATAAATTATTTTATTTTCATTATTCTTATAATTAAAATATTTAATACTCTTTTTTTATTTCATCCCAAAATACTAAATGATTCCCATCATTTGTGACAGTTCCAAAAATTTTATTGGTTTATCTATTTAATTATTCAACAATTTTAAAGTTTCCATTTTTCAATTCCCTTATGATGTATATAAATATTTTGTGTCTTAACACCATTAAATTCCTGTTTTTATTATAAACTAATGGAAATTAGAACATTTCCATATTCACATTATCTGAATTTAATTTAAGTTTCTTTTCTGTATTCTCTTGAAATACACCATCTTATAATTCAAATATAAACATTTCATCAATTTAATTACTATTAGGTATCCAAATAAACTAATTCTCTTTGATAAACAAAACCTTTGATCCAGGGCTTTAAATAGATTGTTTAACAATGTATTTGAATTCCATTTAATTATTTTATCCTCTTTCCCAAATAATTATTTTATCCTCGCCTATAGAGCATGATGCTAAATATTGCTCTTTTGATTTAAACTTAATGAATAAACACCATTATTGTGTTTGTCCAAAGAATATTAATATTATAATTCATTCTTATCTAAATCTAATTTCCAACTGTTTATTCTATAATCCAGACTTCCAGAGAATAGTTCATCTTCATTTTAATTTAAAATCATGCAAAGTACTTTATCTGTATGTTATTGGTATGGAATAGAGCTAATCCACTCATTTTATCCGTAACTTTTCCAAACTCTTATTGTTTGATCGCTTGAACAGGAAAGAAATAAGTTTTATCTTTTACTAAAAACCAATGAATTAATCCAACCTTCATGATATTTCAATTGTTATGATAATTCTAATTTTCCATTATTAAAATTCCAAACATTAATTAAGCTTTTATTTGTAGATACCATGATTGAGTCAGAAGAATTAAAAGCTATGCTTAAACAAGAGCCCTATTATTTAACTGATAATTCAGTTTATTTTAATTTAATATCATCTTCTGATATCTCAATTTATTAATTAAAATTTACATTCAATTTCTGGATCATAAGTTTATTATTTTCTAACATCTCCTTGCATTTTTCCTATTCTTAGAATTAATTGAATAAATCTAACTTTGAAGTAACTTTTGAGTACCAAATATTTTGTTCTTTACTGATTCTTTATAACAATTCATTCTAATCAAAATAAATGCCTTTATTATTTATAAAGTTTTCTAATTCATCATGAAAACTGTATTATTAATATTATTGACACAGCAATTATAGATTATTGATCCAATCTTGAACAGCACATTGAATAAATTCGAATTATTGAATTACATTTGATTTCAACAGATTTAATTGAGTAAGAATCTATTAAATTTAGTTTACCTATGATTTGATTAGGTTATAAACTTATTCTAATTTTATTTACTATTATTCTTAAATTATTTCGAGTATATCTTTGTACACAATTGCTTTTCCATTTATATTTATAGTTTATAAGCATTAGCCACATAAAAGCCTCTGATCTCTCTATAATTAAGGGTTTAGAAGGACTTAAACAATTTTTTGGTTATGTTTCAAAGCGCATTGCAATTATATCTCATTTTCTATCATTTTTGATTTAAGCATTTTTAATTTAATTTCTTTATGGATTTATAATTCTCAAAGAAATTTTTTTATAATTTTGTTTTAAGTAATTAAAATAAATTGATGCAAATAATTGCCTAAGTCTCATTTTTATTGAAATTATGACCCACTTATTAATGTTATGGAATTTAAATATTTAAATAAAGCATAGTTATTATATAAATATATATCAAATCAAACATTTAGCTAGAACTTTTTTAGTTTTAAGTCCAGCTTTATTAAGAGACAAACTTCAACTAATTATCTTACAAGCATGGTTAAGACCAAAGTACCATATAAAATATATTAATATTGAATAATTTTAAATTATTCATAAATAATTACTTATATTATTTTCAATAACTTGCTCAATATTCTCTTTCGATGTAAGCTGTCTAACTTGAATTGATTTTGAAAACCAATCACTCCTTATTAAATATTAACCGTCGTCACTTAAGGTTCCGAATACCCAATTGTGTCGATAATTAATACTTTTTGTTCCAAATGACATTCCCAGTCGGATGAAGAGAATATAAATTATAACACATTAATTTTATATCAGTTCTTGCATATTAGAATATTCTTTGAAGGAATATAAATGGCTGGAAAATAACTCTAGAAGGCATCTTTTTGCCCTTAAACTGCAATGTCTCTTGATCTGACATATTAATTTTCAATAGAATCTAGTTTATAGATGTATATAGATTTTCCAGTCCATGGTAAGTAAGCAAACAAGTTATTATTGATAAATGACAATCTTACTCCAACTTCAGATAGTTACCATAATTTTGAGCCAGAATAGCTCATAACCATTATTTATTTTGTTGAACAGGAAATTAATTTATTTCCGTCTTAACTTATAGAAATTTGAGAAACAGAAGAATTATGCTGCGAAATAGTCTATGAACAGAACCAAGTTGACTTATTTGAGAATTATGAACAATTGAAAGTCCAAAATTTTATTGATTTATCATCTGATCCGCTAATAATTAGATTGCTTTTAACAGGATGTACAAGTTACTTCATTTTTATGTTCTTTTAATCTAGCTAAATATTTGAAATCCCAATTCATAACTAAAGACCATAAAATAATTGAAGCATCATGAGAACCAGATACCAAACCTGAATTTTATTTAAAGACATTAAGAGTAGTAATTTTGATTGAATGTGATTTTTAACTTATTATAACTATCTCAACCCATTTATCAATTAGAACACTACAATATTATTATAATGGTTAGCATACACCATTGTATTAGAGCTATTAATTGCTAAAGGAATAGAATGTCTACGTAGTTCAAATGAGAAATCTGGAATGAGTTAATAACTATAATGCTATGAAATATATGGATTTAATACAAATTATTGCTGCATCTTTTGCGAAAAAAAGAAATATTTCAATTTAGAGATATTACTTATATGGATAATTAAATAATTAAGTTTTATTCCAAAAAAATTAAATATTTACAAATATCTATTTAATGAATTTGATTATATTAAAACATAATTTTCAAGATTAAAATATGGATATCTTGGTCATCAAAAGTTTAGATATTATCATCGACCGTATTCACTCCTTTTAAGCAAAAATGTTAGTATTTATAATTATTTGCTATTTATAAAAAGAATTTTATATATTGGGTATCTCACATGATCCATATAATATTATTAGAATAGGCAATATATTATAAATGAAAAAACGCATTTGAATTGAATGCGACTGAATAGAATTTTCTTCAAGTTATCTTTCAAATCTAGTTGATCAAAATATTATAATCACATTCTTAATACAGAATTGAACAGAATACATATTATACTGTATAACTTATACTAATATTGTGGATACATAATAAATTTAATATTAATGCAAATATTTGTAAAAACATTAACTGGAAAAACCATCACTCTTGATGTTGAACCATCAGACACTATTGACGCTGTCAAGGCTAAAATTTAAGATAAGGAAGGAATCCCACCTGATTAATAAAGACTCATTTTTGCAGGAAAGTAATTAGAAGATGGAAGAACACTTTCAGATTATAACATCTAAAAGGAATCCACTCTCCACTTAGTTTTGAGATTGAGAGGTGGAATGTAAATTTTCATTAAGACTCTGACCGGAAGACTGATCAATCTTGATGTTGAATCTACCGATTCAGTTGAATCTCTCAAAAAGTAAATTCAAGATAAGGAAGGAATTCCACCTAATTAATAAAGACTTATTTTTTCTGGTCACTAATTAGAAGACGAAAAAACTCTTCTGGAATATAATGTAGAAAATGAATCAACAATTCATTTGGTCTTGCGATTAGTGTAGTAAGCCGTATCGGAAGATGGTAAGATGTAGGTTTATGTTAAAACTGTTACCGGTCAAACACTCGCAGTAGTAGTGGAAAATGTACATACGATAGAACATGTCAAATAATTAATATCAGATTAGAACGGAATACCTCCTGATCAACAAAGATTATTATTCGCAGGAATGTAAATGGATAATGCTAAGACCGTTTAGGATTATAATATTTAATGCGAAGCAACACTTCACCTAATATAGAAAGTTTAGAATTGAATATTATTTAAATATTCATACAAAAAATGATTCTATTTTAATCTATATTGGTTTTAACATTCATCAATTACATAATAAGTTCATGTTTACGTTTTCATATAATTTGTAAATTAAATTTTTCTAATTGTTATGATTTTATTAATATCAACTCACTATTTGTTGATTTAGTATAAATATAGTATTTTTTAAAGATATCAATAACTTATCTATTTGATAAAGCATAAAATCGATACCTTGCATCATATTGTTAAACACTGTTCTAATCATATTTCAATTTTCTTAATTAATTATAATCCTCAATCCCATAATCCTTAAGTTTCCCGAGATCTTTATTATTTTATTAATTAGTAAATTAGCAATTCGAATTAAATCTTAATATTCATATTACAATAAATTTACCATACACCAAAAATTGGATATATTGTCTTCATTGATCACTTCGTAACATATATTTGAAATTCCACCAAAAATATTTTTAATACCAATTTCTAAATAAAATATGATAGCGATATATGTTTCAATTTAAGTTCTCAAAAAATTCATATAAATCAAATTCAATTATTCTTACTCAATAGAGAAAATGACCCAAAGCAACCCTATTCATAAATAAAAAATAAATTCCATTATATTAAACTTAATATTGTTCCACAAATCATTCAACAAATTACAACTTCTAAATAATTAATATATGATTGATGACAATAAAAAGACTAAATTATATTCAATTATAACATGTTCTCAATTTTAATTTGGTTAGTTTACATGAAGAAAGCTAGTTGCTTTGTGTAAGTCTACTCCTTTGATGCAAACGATCAAAATCAGGATTGTAATACATGATATTCGAATTTTTAGGTTGGAATATCACAAATATGCTAAATACGATGTTTAGAACCTGTGATTCTTAAGTGATTTTTGGTGGACCTAAGAGTTTTGGAATGAATACCTACATTACGAGATTTTTTAATGACCTTGATCCTCATTACAAGTTGAAAATTGAAATCGAGCTGTGGATGTAGAATTTGATCTTTTATTTTTAGAATAGATAAATGGACTTCAGATTAAATAAACATTGAAATTGACAATACTTTGTAATTCTAAAAAGGTTACACGCATTCTGACGCATTTCCTGATTATTGTGGTACTGGGAGCCTGTTGGATGATGATGATGATTCTTCTGTTTACAGTGATGAATAAGATACAATATTAATTACAATTCCTCATGTTAAAAGAAGTGTCTGGGTTCATATTTATGTAGATGTTTAAACTGATGAAAATGTAAAATTATAATTAAAAAAAGTAATCATGGGGCATAAAAACATTTAAATTAAGTATAGAGAAATGTCTAAATGGATGTCTTGCATGTTTTGGTGATGATTACTCATAATGTCTAAAATGGCAAAAACATACATAATCCTTTTCGTAATCTTACATTAGTGGATCTGATTTATGGGATGGAATTGGATTTCCTTTAAATATTTTTCAGTCAGACTAATGCTCTGGTTGCAATTATTTTTATGGTATGAAATTTAGAAGATTTCTGAATTTGCCAAAAAAATAATAAATCCTTCTTAGATTATTTAAATATGAGGCAAATACTTTTCAAATTTTATTAAATAATCTTATTTATAAAATTATTTACAATCCTATTGGATAGATACAAATTTTGATAGATGATTGGAAAGGCGAAATATATGAAATTCTGCTTGAATCCTTATCATCTAATTTATATATAAGAGATATTGATATTTACTATGCAGATCGGGAAGAAGAAAATATAATCTAATTCATGCCTGGTTGTGTGTTTTTTATTGACTTGATATGTAATTAGTGTTATGAAGGTTGGAAGTTTATTGACATTCACTAAATGTGTCAACCATATTGTGGTGATAAACTTATTGTTGGAGATGAAGAATGTGATGATGGTAATGATTTATCTCATGATGGATGCTTTTAATGTTAATTCTAATGTGATCAAAACTGCCTTGTATGCTAATTTGGCAAATGTGTAGAATGTTAAAACAGTTTTGAATTAAATAGTGATTAACTATGTTTACCTATTTGTGGAGATGGATTCGTAGTTCCTTATACTGAAGAAAAATGTGAGGATGTCAATAATATTGAAGGTGATGGCTGTTTTAATTGTAAATTTGAATGTGATTAAATGTGCAGTATTTGTTATTTGAAGAAATGCTTAGAATGTTAAAAAGGATATTAATTAATTGACAATTAATGCTATCCTTATTGTGGGGATAAAATTGTAATTAATGGTTTTGAGGATTGTGATGATGGTAATTTACTACCATTTGATGGATGTTTTGAATGCAAATTTTAATGCTAAGCAAGTTGCATCATATGTTAAGAAGGGAAATGCAATGATTAATAATGTGAAGATGGATATAAATTACTCTAGGGGGAATGCATTTCAATTTGTGGTGATTAGTATGTTACATCGTAAGAAGAATGTGATGATAGTAATGATATTGAGTATGATGGCTGTCATAATTGTAAATATTCATGTACTTTGAATTGTTTTGATTGTTAATAAGGATAATGTCTTGTCTGTGAGGAGCAATATCAAATCACTAAAAGTGGAGAATGCCAATAAATTAAAATTTCATATGAGGAGGAGTATGCTATTATAGAATGCGATGATGGTAATGATTTACCAAATGATGGGTGCTATAATTAAATGATTGAGTTTAATTGGGTGTGTTCAGAATATTCTATTGACACACTTAGTTAATGTACCTTTTCTGTAAATCCAAAGTTGATACTTACCTTCCTAAATTATACGTAAGATACATAATTTGTAAAAATTTCATTCAGTGAACAAGTTATGACTACATCTTAATTTGTTCTTACGGATACGATGGAAACATTGGTAATAGATGTTTCAGAAGATAAATAGCTATTAAATTTATCTATTATTTAAGATGCAAGTGCATAACTTTCATAGCCAGAATATGTTATTGCAATTCAGATATTTTAGTTACTTGAAATTAAACCAATACTTTAGATTAAATTAAATTAATAAATTGTTAATCAATATGGAGCTTCTGTGATTCCTAATGATCATTACATTACCATAAATATTCCAAATTACTTGGATGAAGTCTAAAAGGTATACTCGTTAAAGTTGAAATAAGTCAATAAATCTATTATTTATTTTATTCTTGGTGTTGGAATAATATCCCTATTTTTTGGCATGTCTGAATTATTTTTGTAAATTATCAACATATTGTAATATCAACAATACCTAAGGTACCTTAATTTAAAGTTTCCTTAAAATCTCTTGATATATTTTGAATTAGGTGATCTGTTATAGAGTTAAACATTGATGGATTATTTTTGTGTGCAAGATTTTTTCTAATTTTTCGAAGTAGAATCGAACTTTAAAACTTCTTATGAAAAATTCTATTACTATAACCTTAATGTTGATCTCATCTAAAATATACAGTGGTAGTTATTTCAATGTATAATTTGCTTACTAATAATATCAATTGTTCATATGTTATAAAGAGTGTTCTATTATCACATCTTTACTGATTAATTTGTTCCAAAAATCTCTACTTTATTAAACTGCATAAAAAATCAATTTTTAATAAAGATTTTGTAAGGATTTTACAAATTATTTAAATGGTTCTTAAGCTTAGAAGAAGTGGCCACTTATAATGGTATCAAACAGTTATTATTAATTAATGGATGGGATTTAATTTTTAAAACTTTATTATATCTTTAATCAATAAATTCAGTCTTAAAAAGGGATATTACCTCACTAATATTAAGTTCAATCATTCTTCTAGCCTATTTAATTATATTGATTTCTGCTTGTAATAGAGAAACATTAATCAGAAATATAAGTCCAAAGTTCTTATTGTTAAAAAGATATGAGATTTTTAATTTGCTAAGATAAACTAGCTTCCTGATAATCTTAGTATTCTTATAGCGATAAGAAATTTTGTAGACTTTGCTCATTGCACTAATATGTGTGATGTGTCTCAAAATCGTTTACAATTATCGAAAGGTTTTTGAGATGGCAAACTTTTTGGTTTAATTTTGTGTTGAAGGATCAATAATATTGTTTACATTTACATCACTCGTATATGTAAGTGATTATGCGATATATATCAACTAGGAGCTAAAAATTAAATTTGGTTGGTTTCATATCAGCATTCTCTCAATTGGTCTTATTGTTCAATTAATTATGATTATTTATGAAAGGATTCGTTCATTCTATAAGAAACACCAGCACGGAAAAGAAAAATTCAGTTAAGTTCGAAAAAATTCTCATTTGATTTTAGTGGAAATAAAAAACCGTGTTATAATTCAAGATGTATGAATTATAATAAAATTAATGTTGATATTTCATCTCCATAGAAAATACATCAAATTTTAATTAGTCATTAATTTGATAATAAAAATTTGTTTTTCTTTTTTTTTCAAACTTTTGAATAAAATCTTCTTTCTCATTTTTAATTTATTTTTATAATTTTCAGTATTTTTGTAGTCTATGTTTAAGATTCTATGAGATGCTTAACAATATCAGTTTTGGACATTAGACATAACAGGTTTTATTGTATTGAATCTCTAAATGTAAAATCCCATGCAAATAGAGATAAATAGTAAAATATTATTTCAATTAAAAAAAGATATAAATGATTGAACCATAAATGTTAGAAAATCTGGAAGACTTAAAATGTGCATGTATGAGTGATTCTCCAGTCACAAAAGTAATCTGCGATCATTAATGCTCTGAAATGAATAGACTATTATGTGATAAATGTTGTTAAAACAAAAAATAATATGCATTAAAAATGAAAATTCATGAGTTTAGCCAAATCATATTGAATTAATAAAGAGATAAGCTTGCTTCATTTGAAACTTGCATATCGCAATATCAAAATTCTATCAAGTTAATTTAACAAGAGCTTGAATCAATAAAATATAATTGTATTGATCGACTTGATCAATTATTGAAAATGACATAAGAATGGATTTAAAGCTTAGAAAATCAAAAAACTCAAGCAGCCCAATACAGCTTTATTAAAGAGTTCGAAGCTATTATAGAAAATTAAAGGAATCCTAAGGTAAGAAACTATACTGCCTAATGTTAAGCAGAGATCGACCTTGTAAGTGCTAGCTATCTGAAGAGGGCATAATCTTATTTAGATTAATTTTAGGCAACATGTGCATCCCAATAGTTTAATAAATTATTCGGAAATATATAAGAACTTCATTAAAAACAATGGAAATTAAATTTGGAATGTATCAGTAAAAAGGAAATTCAGAAAGCAAACGTATCCTATGCGATGACATTTAATTAAGATAGCTCTCTTTTACTAATGAGTTTGGATAGTGTTATAAAAGTATTTAATATTAGAGGAGGAGAAGTAAAATAATTACAAACTCTTTAACATATTTCAAAATATGTTACTACTCTAAATGTTTTTAAGAGAGGATCTTTATTTTTGTCTACCTCTTTTGATTCATTTTTAAGGTTAGAATCATTCAATCTATTGTAAAGATCAAAATATCTTTAAAAATTTGAAGGACATTCAGATGGAGTTTTCTGTTGCAAGATGAATCCACTAAATACTGTGATTATTTCTGGAAGCTTTGATAAAAGTATAAAATTCTGGTCAAAATCATTGAATTCATCATGGAAGTGTTTTTAGACAATATCCGAACTCAATGGTGAAGTATATGATTTATCAATCAACCAAAAAGGAGACTAGGTTATATCCTGTGGAGTTGCTGGATTTATTTTAGTAATTGAATAACAGAAGCTTAATAGTTGGGTGATCATATAAAAAATCCAAGTAAATCAACTTGGAGAACATCTGAGTTACATCAGTGACAATTAATTTGTATTTTAACCTTTTACTTCTTAAAGACTTGAATTCTATACTTTAAACAAGGAAACCAAAGAATATAAGCATTCGTAAAATCTTAAAGAGAATTACGTAGGCATTATAAATAAAGGGAATTCAAGATTTCCTATTATTTACCATTTCAATAAAGGTTTCGTCTTAAAGTAAGCAGGCTAAGCATTAAACTTTATTAAGTTGATTGATGTTAATTCATTAAACTGTGTTTAGCATAACGTTGATGAATTCAAAGATTCATATATTTAAGCTGCTCTCAGTGATGAAGGAACATTACTAGCAACTTGGACTAAAAACTAACAAGTTCTCTAAATTTGGAGATGTGTATATTGATAATTATATACTAAATAACAAAATACAAATTTAATTAAAATAAATTTTTATACTTATATATAAATTTAATTTAACTTGATTTATTGGATTTTATAATAATTAAAAACATGTTTAATCTAAGATTAAGATAGACCTATGTTCTTAATTTTTATATATGGTGTGTGTGTGTATAACTTGAATTTATAAAAATAAATAATGATCAATATACATTCAGATTCTAAACTAACAATTGAGTAACAAGACTCAGAAGTTTATCACTTGATTGAAAAAAAAAAGGAATTACAACAAAACAGTATAAATTTGATTCCTTGTGAAAATTATGTCTCTAAAACAGTAGCTGAAGCATAATCATGTGTCTTTAGCTCGAGATATGCTCCAGGTAATGTCTATCTTATTATTATATAATAGGTCTATAGGGAGGCAAATACGCACCCCAAGCTGAGAATTACGATGCAATTGAAAAGCTATGCCAAGATAGAGCATTGGCAGCATTTTATTTGGATCCTTAAGAATGGGGAGTCAATGTATAGATGGGAAGTGGAATTACATCCAATTTAGCCATATTTTTATGATTATTAGAACCGAAAGATAGAATAATGAGTATGGAATTTTAGTAAGGTGGACCCTTTTCTCATGGTTACTAAGTTGGAGAAAAAAAGTTATCTCCTGTTAACAGAATCTTTGAAGTCCTCTTTTATTAACTTAAAGAAGTAAATTCATAGATTTATCTTTTTAGGAAACATAAGAAATTGACTACTATAAAGTTGAATTATTGGCTAAGTCATTTAAGCCAAAGCTAATTGTAGCTGGTTTTTCAGCCTACGGTAGATTAATCAACTTTGGAAGATTCAGAAATATTTGTGATTAAGTAGGGGCTATTTTATTAGCTGACATAGGTCATACGAGTGGTTTAATGTCAGCAGGAGTGATTCCTTCCCATTCCCTTTGCAGATGTTGTAATGAGTACTACTCATAAATCGTATAATATATTCTATATAATAGCTTACGAGGACCAAGAGGAAGTTTAATTTATTATAAATTACAATACAAAAATAGAATTGATGAATCCGTTGCCCCAGGATTAGTAGCTGGTGCTCATTTCCACACAATTACTGCTATAGCCGTGGCATTAAAAGAAGCTTAATCTTCATCCTTTATGCAACTATAGTAGAATGTTGTTGAAAATAATAAACATTTTGCAGCAGAATTCTAAAGATTAGGATTTGGTCTCATTGGAGGGAAAACTGAAAATCACTTAATTTGGTAGATTTGAGAAATTTTAACGTTGATGCAATTAAAATGGAGTATATATTAAGTTTGATTAACATTCAATGTAATAAAAACTATGTTCCTTTTGACACAGTTTCTTATAAAAGGGCTTTGAGAATAGGGTAGTTATGATATTAAAAAAAGATCAATCCCATTAACTGTTAGATAGGCTAATAAAGACCATTTCACAAGATTAGCCGAATCATAAAATAATCAGTTGAATTGGTTTAAACTGTTACCATTGACATTAAGTAATTGGCAACAGAAAATTAGGATAAATTGATGCCTTTGAAATAATAGGTTATTGTATTGGCTAATGAGTTGCCAATCCCTTGGATGTGAATAAATATATAAGAAGATAACACAGTATTTGTTCTATCTAACTTATTTTGATTGTCGATGATCATCCAATTTTTTGAGTACTTCTACTTTTAATCTGTAAAATTAAAGTAAAAGATATATTCCATAAAATTGTAATTTAATTTTCCAATTAATCAATGTAGATTTTAAATTCCATATTTCTTTTTTACAAAAAATTTGTTTACTGAAATAATGTAAGGTTATTGAAGTTTCTATATCCAACAATAATTACTATAAAATTGCACTTTGCTTACTTTAAGATCCTCTAAATATTTGCATTAAAATGTATGGAGTTTTGAATAAATTAAATTTATTTATTTATAATAAATAACATATTAATCCAATATTATCATTTTTAAATGAGTCCTGTATGAAGATATACTCATCAATAATTTCATTATGAATCCAAAAATAGCCAAATTATTAGTTCCTTAAGTGAATAAATAAATAGAGAAAATTTTCAAATTAACAGTAACTCTCATCTTTGGTTTCTGAGCTCAGCTAAACTTACATGTTTAATTTATAATTTTGATTCACTTTATATGTGGAGTATTATCTAAAGGTAATCCAGGTAAAAAAGATTTGAGATTATAAATACAAATATATATTCTATTTGCTTTTAAACTTATCATGTTGATGATCCCTATATTAAAAAGGATAATTATGAATATTATAAATTCAAATTCAATATCCCAAAATATTAGATGTTGAGTTAGCTGTTATGCAGTATGTTAATTCAAATACCATTTGATAATTACCAGGTGCTTAAGGAATTAATAAACTCTGAACATGTAACTCATTTTTAAAGTTGTTGACAACTGTCTAGTTTCTGCATGTCTAATAGACTATTTTTTAATCAACACCAACTGAAGTAACATAAGTAAAGGCACAACAAAATCCAGTTGCGCATTCCGAACTTGATCTACATTATCTTTAGCTTGAAATTGGAATGATTAGTACGGATAAAAGAACAACAAAAAGCAAATTAGTTTTCATTTCTTTAATATAAATATTAACGCCATTAATAAATACTGAATTTGTTATATATATGTAAATTATATTGATTTCTGATTAGTCAATAAATTTCCTCAGTTATTTAATAATTATGGATAAGAGAACTTAAATTCTTGTTAGGGAACTATTTTGTTTGTCAATATTGACTATAATTGCTATTTAATTTTTAATTGGTCATATAATTCTTGAGCAATATATATCTCTCTTTTAATGTACTCTTAATCAATAAAAACAGCTTCTCAGATTCAGTAAATTTCTTTGACGATTTAGATTATATCAGTCTGCTGGTGTGTACATATGATACAATAAAAATAATCTGTATATTCATATCTTATAATTATGATTAATTAAAAGAGTAATTGATTAATATTAAATTTGTTAGAAATATCTAAACGCTAAAGTAAAATTAATTATTTACAACAATAACGAGATTACATTAAGACAATAATTAAACTTAGAGATATAAGAATTAATTTGAAATAGGGTTGTTCAAGTTGGAGAAAAAAGAATGTAAATTAAAAATATTATTACAATAAATGTATGATGAGGATACGAATTGATAGGAGTTTAGTTACCAAGTAATTGCTCCTTCTTAGTGTAATAATTGATATTATTGAAAGGGCATTAACAATAAATATCTAACACAAAGGGACTTAGTCTGAAGTTAGGATTTAATGGTGTGATAAAATTGAGAAATTAGTAAAATTTGATGTATTTTAATAATAGATAATAATAAATTGAAATAATTAATGAATTTTTTGATATCTAGAATAATTGTTAATATTTAGCATCTTTCAATAATGATGATGGTAAGATAATGAGATTGAATAATTAATTTCTCATATTAAATTAATACATAATGAATTCTGATTTATTCGCTTGTTAATTTTGCAAGGAATATTTCTCCATTCAAAGGGAGCCATTCCTATTACCTGATTGTGGTCACAGTGTTTGTGCTGAGTGCCTAACTGTAAAATTAAAAAATGGAAATTAATTTGTATGCAAAGAAGATGGGTATATATATTTGAATTATTAGGGCAGTGTACAAGTAACAAGGAATTAGATGAATGAATTCCCAAAAAACTTTGCTTTGTTGTAGATAATCAAAAATAGACCAACAAACAGAAAAATCGTAATGAACAATTCTCCAAAGTAGACAGAAATCGAATAGGATTCAGATCGATGCAAGAAACACGGCGAGAGAATGGACGTAGTTTGTGTTGATCATCGTGTAAGGATTTGTGCAAAGTGTGCATTATTTGGAGATCATGCAGATCATAAAGTTGTTAACTTGGAAGATGCGTTAAAAAAGATTATTAGAAGAATAGATGAATTGAAGGACATGTCAGAACGACTAGACAAAGCAGCAAATGAAACCTTTGAAATGTCCTAGTATTTTAACAAAATTGAGCTGCATTTTTAATCTAACTTGGACATTCAGATCAAGTAAGTCAATGCCTTTTTCGATGAATTAACCTAAATATTAGATAGCAAAAGAAATAAAATAATCCAAGAATGCAGAGAGAAAATTATACATTCCCAAGAACTATACAATAAGTATATAACAGAGTCATTTATCGATGTTCAACGAAAAGTAGAATTGTGGAGAATGACTAGCAAAGATAGAATTCATTACTATGAAGAACAATAAAAGTCTAATTCCATTCCATTTGAATTGATTTCAATATCTTCAACCAACGAATTGATGTTGATTGGTGCACAATATTTGAAGGAATTAGAGACTACCAAATAGTAAATCTTACTCAAAATCGATGAGCCATCCTACAGGGAGATACATCTGGAGATGAAAAGTGATTTGGAGCAATTTATAAATACTCATTTGATTGTTTACTAAAAGGACCCCTAATTCAGATTAGAAAACTCATTATCAAGACTTGAATCCATAACTGAATGCTCACTCCTTAAAGATATTAATAGTTCAATCATTCAAGATCCCTTGAATCAAAATTAAATGGAATTGTGGATCAAATAATACCAAGAAAATCAATAGTACAAACAGTAATTAAATCAACAATTCTAATTGTAATAACAGCAATAACAACTATAATAACAGCAATATCTATTTGTGCAACAATAACATTAGTAATAGCCCTCAAATTAGCCATATCAATAGTTGTCTTATTCGAATCATTAGCGAACGGATCAACCTTTGACATCTCAAGAGTTAGACGATTAATACTTGAATAACTTGAAGAAATCTCCTTCTGCAACCACTTTGGCTACTAGACGAACTGTGTCTCCTTCGCCAATCAGAAGATCGATGAAATAAAAGAAGATTAATGAGAAATTCCAGCCTCTGATTGTGAAACTCAAAGGGGACGGATTGGATCAGTGTGATTTTAGTTAGGCTGAATTAGGAGATGAAGGGCTATTGTCTCTGATCACAATAATAAAAAAAACAAAGAATCTGAGAGTATTGAAATTGGCAAAAAACAAGATTTAAGATGGAGCAGCGTAATAATTGTTGATTGAATTGATAGAGAAGCAAAATGAGAATGAATAGGAGAATAATCAAATATCAACTATAAATTTATCGAGTAACATGCTGACCGACAAAGTTGTAGACACTATTCTTGATTTATGTAAGATTAATTTAAAAATCATATTTTCTTAGGTAAGAAATTCTCTAAAACTATGCAGCATTAATCTTTGAATCAGATATATCTAAATCAAAACATCATAAACCTATCAAGAGTGAAGAGAAAAGTGGATGAGATAAAGAAGTACGGATTGATAATAGCCATATGACTTAGTTTTAATTTGATAATCTATTATATTTATATAATATTTTTAAAGAGTAATTTGAATTATTATCATTATCATCTTTTTTTAGTTTTACTTTATTATTAAATTGTTGATCTAAGTTTAGTGATCTTCACTTGATCATCAACCTTTTGTTCTTAAAGTTTCTTAATCTCTTCCATTTGAATATACTTGTCCTATTCAAATTGCTGATATATTTCTCGTAATAGATTTTCAAACACAACAAACATTTTATTCTATTTCTTTACTAGTGATGTTTTTAACTATTGATTTTCTTGTTTCAATTTTTGGATCCATTAAAGTACAATCTATTCGATTTGCTGAGTTCTAGTTTTCCAGTGCAATAAACCCTATTTCATGACATGCAATCGTTTCTCATAGACCGACTTGATGGATGGGGCATAGCTGATACTAAATTGCTTATTTTAATAGGATTCCAATTGATTTTCGAGGTTGTCAATTTTGGTTTCCTAGGATTAAGTAAAATAGATACTAGAATCATCTTTTCGTCAATGAGATCTTGATACATCTTGGATAGATTTGTTTGCTAAGAAATTCTACTGACTTTCTTATCAATCTATTCAGTGAGCAATTCTGAACTCAGAGCTTGACACATGAATTACAACTCTTTGAATGCTTTTTCATAAAGTTTCTGGAATTCATCTTTGGCCTTGGTGTGAATATTATTGAGTTAATTCTGAAGCATTTCTTTTTCAGATTATTCTTTGGCTAATCTCTAGGTGAACAAGTCCAACTCACCTTTTGTCAAATGCAAATCAGACTCTAAGGATAGAATGTATTATTTGATATCTTAGGTCAGATCTGTAGCGTAAACGAATTCCTCGTGTTGTTACTTGAGATCTTAGATACTTTGTTGTAGTTGTTGTTATTTCAAATTATATTCTTCTGTTAATGTTGTTAATTATTGTCTTAAGAATCTCTCCTACTTGGATTTCAATTCCAATTCAATCTTCAGATACACATTCTCTCTCTCCAGAAAGCTAGCTTAATCTTAACCTTGAGTAGGATCTAGAATAAAATCAAATAATACAAATTTATTTAAGGGCCTCCAATTTGTTTTATAAGAAACTAATCTATTATGGCAATATATCATCCTTGGTACCTGATTATGATATCTGATAGGGTTGTTCTTCTTTGCCACTTTGACCCGAATACTAATAGTCATTGTTATTATTGATATTATGATTATTCTTATGTTTAGAGCTGGTGATAAAATTGAGTTCTTGCACATCTTGCATATTAATTTTGGATTCTGTTGTTTTCTTTTCTCTGCCGAATGTGTTGTGCTCATTATTTCTACCAGATTACTCGGATTATGGAGTTTTCAGATTTTCTTGGTCATAAATGTCTATTCCGAGATTATTTCTGATCTTCGTCAGTTTCTGAGTAATTTATTCTATGAATTGGGAATCATCTTCTTATAGCATTTAATCATTAGCTTCAAATTAACTACTCATCTGTTAATATATTAAATGTTGTTTTTTATTAAAAACATGAAAATGTTATTTTATAAGCTCATTCTGGTCCCACAGAAGCTTAAGCACCTCCTTTATCTTCGAAGTACATGTAGTCCATCATAAGAGTGACAGCAAGCAGCAACGCTTTGTCTTCCTTCGAAGCTCCTTTGGGGAAGATCAAACTGAAGTTGTCTGCATCACCCATCGCGTTTTTACAACAGTCCTTTCCTTTCTTCATTAAATGAGCCACAACCTAATTATTCAATCAATTTGAGTGCTTACCTCTCCGGTTGGTACTTTAATGACGAACTCAACCTTGTTGCAAGAATTGCATGGGCATTTGCACCAAAAATAAGTTTGGCAACAACTTGCTTCTACGATGTATCTCAAGTTGTCGTGAATATCCAGTACGTGACATCCTATGTTGCAGAAATACCATGGATTCACTATTGTTCCCAGTTTCTTGTTCTCGTCGTTCTCCACATACAAGACTTCAAGACGAGGTCTATTTTTAAATCACCCAATCAAAATACCTATTAAAACACAAGCATGTGCATTGATACTCTCTCTTGAACTTGAAGACTACTCTCTTTTCGTCCTTCAAGAACATCTTCGCCATGGCTGGCTAGAAGTCCTTACATCCGTAATTGTTGATTTTCATTTCAAAAGGCCTTGTATTCCCTCTAAGACGAATTAATCTAATGAACTTACGGAAGACAAAGACGAGCACAAGTGGACGATTTCTCTTTGCATTTGAATAACGCCTTTTACTTCTTCTTCTTCCCTTAATCGTTTGCTGCATAGACCTTATATACATTCGGAGTTTCGAAACCTAACAATAACTCATAATTTGAGTACCTGTGATTGCCTCGAACAATTCAAATTTCTATTTAATGAAGATACCATCTTGCTACCCCAATATATCCAAACAACTGCTAGAAATTGCTTGGATCAAATGTTGTGCCTGTTCATTCATCTAATTAGCCATGGCCTAACCCAAGCTTCCTATCTGATTAAAAGCTCCTTGCATAGTTAGAAGTCAAGTAAAATGTTATGAAAAGTTAATATTAATATCTATTCGTCATTAACAGTTACACATAAATAGGGTTAATTAAAATAACCAATCTTTTAATTGTTTAAAATTAATAATCAATTTACATATAACCAATAATCCTCCGTCCAAAAAAATATCAATTTCACTACACCATTATATCCCACAAGAAGTCCTGAAGGAATCAGCCAAGAAACCATGGCACACCTTGATCCTATAACTCCAATATAACATGTGAATAAAAACGCTGTGTCAAATTATATTGTTATCCAATGAAGCAATTATTTTTCACTCTTTAATTAATTTTTTAAATATTAAGCTATTTTCTTTTATTTCCTGCTAAATTTAAAGCTAGCTCAAATTAATTGTGGAAAAGTACATCAAAAAGGATTCTATTTTTGGATCTAAAAACTAGGGACTGAAAAAATGAAAACAATCTGTATCTTTAAATTTAAATTTCTTAGCATTCTCTTAAAATAGAATTAATACAGTATTATAATAACAATCCTTATGCCTAATCATTACCAAAGAGAATTATCATTGATAGAAATTAAAATTATCAAACTTGTAATCTTTTACTGCTACAATAATAGCCAATTGAAAATAGTAATTGTTGATATATATAATATTCAGTATCAAAAAGTATTCTATTTTATACTCCATATTACTTATTACCATAATCCTCATCATTATTTGTTCGATAAAAGATTTTGGTGATATAAAATTGCAATTAGTATTTATATTCTAGTTATCACTATTGCTTAAAAAATCAGATAATTTAATATCTATATTCAATAAAGATCTTTAGGAATATTGTAAGATAATCAATTTTGTAACTACAATATAGAAGTCATTTAAACATAAATGTATTGATATAAACCCTTTTATTAATCTTTTAAATAGCTATATCTAGATAAAGTGAAATAATTTCCATAATTATTTGTGTATCAGAATGGGTGTGTTAATTGATTTTAATTTGTTTGGAATATCAACCTCAATTAAAATATTTACATTTCTTGAATTTAAAAAAAAAAATCTACATAGTGTAATTATAAAATACTTTGTTTTTTTTCTCACAAAGATGGATATTTTTGCAAAGGTCCTAGCTTTACATATATTAAATTAACATTATTTATCTTATTGCAGGTAAACAATTAAATTCAATAAAATCCATCAATTTGATTGAAATTATACTTCGAATAAATATACAGAGATTTGACAACACTGCAAGCTATTCATATAGCAAGTATTTCATAACTTTTCTAACCCGTTAATATTTAATAAATGATATTAGGAATACTAATAAAGTCTATTGAAAACAAAAATCATTAATAATTTATTTCAACATTGTCACATATTGGAATCTTCCAGAAGTTTTAACATTAGTATTCTACTTCATCAACAGGAGGGAAATAAAGATGGATATCCTTATTCATTTCCACATAAGTAGTGATTTCATCAGTATTATATTTTTGGATATTGCTATCTGGGTCTATTATGAAGATTCGACTAATATCCACATTGACTGCCTAATAAGCAGTAGAATCCTAATAGACATAAATAAATATCTTATTACTGTTAATCTATTTCCAAATCCACAATAGAATGGACTCTCTCCAATGAACAAGTTCCTAATTTCTTTTAATGCCGTGATCTTGAATAATTCAGGAGTTCTGTCGATGACTTCTCTCTTAAATGCAGGGAACAAAGAGTCAGGACTCAAAATTATAGGTCCCTTTGGCAATTTAGTATTATTTTATTGTAGATTTTAAATAAAATCTTTAGTTTGATCTGCTTATCCTATCGCTCTGGCAGTCAAATAAATTATTTTATATCCCATAGATTATATATTCTAATAGAGATTGGCTACTCCATCATGATTCCAATCGGTTCCTAATTTTGGCATTAATTAACCCAAAATGTCTGACTTTGTGATGGTACCATCAATGTCCGATATCACCAATTTAGTTTTTTAGTCATAAAAGTAGATAGTCCCATGCAATTCCACAATATCACTTTTTTTGGGTATGCATATTCTGTATGTAATTTTGTTATTTCCCTTTTTCAATCCTAGTTATTTTAAAATTGATGAATTAGGTTTTAGTATTGGTCTTTATGACTTTCTCCTTTTCTATATGGACATTGTACTATATGTATCAATAGAATTCTCACTGAGTTTTCTGAGTCTATCTTAAGATTTAAATTATTGGTGCTGTTTTTGAGTCTATTCATTATTATTTATTCTCTGAGTATTATTGTTCTATTCAATTTAATCCGATCCTTTCTTCTTACCAAAGAGAACACTATACCATTATTACTATTGTTAAGTGTTCTGCTTCTTCTATTGATCCAAACTATCAATAACCATATCTTGAGCGAAGACTTGTTTGGCCAACAATTAAATTAATCCTGCTTCTCTGCTGAAGAACTTATCTCCAATCTTAAAGACAAGATCTTTGTGATTTATGATTTTAAGTGAGTCTTTTTCGAATGCTGAAAAGGAAATTTTGTGTTGTTCGAACAATTGGAATCTCTGAGTTTATGTTAGATTTTATTATGAGATTTAATATTGACCACAGAGAGAGAGTTCTATTACTGATTGGCGTGGAGAGAGGGTCTCCCTATCACTACAAGTAATATTGTCTTTCTCGTAATCGTTTGTTTAGATGTGTTTGTCTGATTGTTGGGACTGGAATTATTTTTGCAATTATAATTACGATAGTCTCTAATATGATGATATTATAATTACTAAGGATGACGTATCGACTTATTAAAATTCTTTGAGGTTATTTGGTGTTTCAATTTTGATTCCCTCATCTTTTTTGGAATTGGTCCCTTTGCCCCAAAATTTTAGAGTTTGAAGCCAATTGCTATTCTTCTTGTCACTATTGAACAAATCATCAGGCTTTTTGTAATAGTGTGATTATCTAAACTCCGATGCTTCATCAAACAATCTATGTTGTGTAATGTAAAAATTATACGAGATCTTCTCGGAAAATGTGTCATCAGATTGGTAGCCAGAAGAATAGGAACTCTTTTCGAAATACGCTGAGCCTTCCTTCCCCAATCTCATTTTCACATCAGTCAATTTGTCATTCACAATAATATCCACTTAGTAGTCTTAACCATCATATTTGCCAAATCGCACATGAAATGGGGTCGATTTCAACGATCCATTATGTTATTCCACAACAATTATATCAATACAGCCACTTAGATAGTACTATAAGGGATAGATTTAGATAGGATTACTTGTCTTGGATCTAACTTGGATATAATCTTTTAAGTTATAGAGGTCATTATTATTAATAATATATATTAATCACTTTTAATCTTTTTTCTTCTTCTATTTTAGGAATTCTTTTCTTAAGGCTGCATCATTCCTCTGGGATTGTTCCAACCTTTCCTTCTCCACCTATGCCTTGTTCATGTCACCAGCAATCATACAAATTCTATCCGTCCTCTTCGTATGATCTGAATCCAAGTTCGATTTCAATATCTGCATCGCAAATGGCTTTATCACTCTGGCATCCCAATATCTAATCCCATCGAAATCGGCGAAACCCATGTAACTCCCAAACAATTTACTGAGCACAGTCTTCCCTTGTTTGATTTCCCCTTCGAAGTAATCCGTTGGCTTGTTTTTCACCTTGCCCAATTGCACAATACAATTTAAATCTAATCATTAATTCATTAAGTACTATTGACTTCATCTACAAAAGATAGAGCTCCTTAAGATTCATTCTTCATTGTTCCAAAGAATGTTCCTGAATAATGTTCAGATGAAAAAGTACACACTATCTTTTGATCTGGGAACTAGATTGTTCTTTTCCCATGATTCAATATAGTCAATGAATTTAAACCAGCTTTTGCTTCATAGAGAGAGTATCCGAAAAATTTGTAAGATTTCTTAGGTCCATAAACTAGAAAATAAGACAAAGGAGGATGATGAGATATCTATATAATAGAATCTTTTATATTCTTACTTATTCACAATACAATTAAGTACCATCTTCGTAGCCACCCTCAAAGGTTTCACCTAAGATTGGATTGAGAGGTTTAAGAAATGAATTAGCCTAAATGTAATTAGATATAAGAGCAACTATACTAAGTTTCATTCTTTCTAATGGCTTTTAAAGAGAAGCAGCCTTGTTCATATACAAAGGAAAGAGAATTGTTTACATAAATGTTTTTTCTAAGGCAGATTTAGGAATCATAGCTTTGATCTACAATAATAAACCAAATCAATTACTGGAAATGAAACTGTTGTTAAATTGAAATTTCCACTGAGCAATTTCTGACCCACCTACTTGATCATGTTCTTTCCCACACTTCTTGCTAAATCAATTATTTTTTCATCCTAACAAGCCGTCCCTCCTTTCTTATGAGCCTAAGGAACCCTATACTCATCCTTGTAATCAACTTTCTTGAAATTCAACGCATAATTCATAATCGTATTAAAATCCCTATGATTGCAATGTTCTCCCTCATCGAACACAATTGAAACCTTAACAAGATCGATTTCATCTGAATCTTCCTCCTAATTCTACTCTGTCTTACTCGGTTAATGTTAGAGTAGTTGCTACTCATTCTTCACTACTACCTACTATTACTCCTCACACTGCATCTTACTGTAATTGTTGCCCTATTGATTATCAGATGCTTCCTATTTATTATTAGTTCCATTCCCATTCTCATTGACATCTTAATTCTCATTCTTGTCATCATCTGCCTGCTTCTATTCGTTGATTTCATTGGCATAATTAACTGCAGATTCAAACTCATTCCCTTAGAAATCACTAATGAATTTCATTTTTGGACTCATATCAGCGACCCCGTTGACTTATCTCCTCATGTGAACTAAAAGTGTTGATCTTATATATAATATTACCTTTGATACTCTTAGCTACTTGCACACCTGAACCCACTCCTCCACTTTCATCGCTAATATCATCAAATTTAAATGAACTCTTTTTTTGAGCACTTCCCTTATTGGGAGATGATTAATTATTCATCACGAAGACTTGTGTTTGTTATTTGCTTACAACAATGAACTCTTTGGTTTCATCATCCTGATTATTCATGTTTTTGAAGTTCTTTTTATAAAATTCAAGAGCATTATTGGATAGCAACTTATCTCCATCTAAATCATTTTGGTCATCCACATACTGTGCTGAAAACATACTGCCTTGTATTAGAGCATAATCAGCCACATTCAGTTTGGAGTTATGAATGTAGATTTTGACATTGTCATTTTTGGCTATTTCGATGTATTCAGTTTGATTGAATTCAGCGATGTCAGTTTTCAATTTCAATAACTGTCCTTTGCCAGATGGGATCACCCTCTTCTTGGAGAACTTGACCAATTTGAATATGGCCTGGTGGAGTACTTTAGGATTTCTATTTATGTTATGAGAGAGTTTACTAAAAATTATCGAATAGGATGATGTCGATGGTTTGTGTCGATGGGTTGAATATGATTCCCAGGATCTCATGTTGTTTATAGAAGGATCCGATGATGCCTCCCAGTAATTCGATATTGCTTATCAATAAATTAAAACCACTATCATTTTTTAACAAATAATTATTATTGTTGTTTATGGACCAATCATTTAAAGACACAACCACTCCAGTAGTCAGCTTAAATTCATTGCCATCTATCTTCACAAGGCCTATTCCCAAAAGAGCATAGAAGGCCTTCACATTTTGCATTTTCGAAGAGAAACAAATCTGCAAATATCCTAGAATCTTATCATAGTTCTCGTTTTCGTCGATCATCAATTTAAACACTCGCCCCTTTGCTGTCCTCACATATATCACTGACTTAAATTATAAGGTGCCGCATTACTTTCTAATCATTGGCTTGCTAATAATTCTTTTTCTTTCTCAAAGATTATTCGCATTTTTGGATCTCAGCCTCATCCCTCACAAAGTCCCCCTTGTTCAAAGAGTAATAATTATTATAACTACTGGATTGTTGAGTCTTGTAACACAATAACCTACCCTTCCTCAGGTCAAAGGAGAAGAAGTAATTGTAAAGAGTTCCCCATTTTATGTATGATACTGCACCTAATTTCCGATCAATCTTTATCGCCTTTCATTATGACATACATCAAATACTTGAGACTTTGGGAAGGGAGCCTACTTTATATCCTCGTCGTCCTCCAACTCATAGATCACACGGTTATTTTATTGCATTTATTATTAATATTAATAAACGAGAAATTAATTAATCTCATCAAGTTCATTCTTCACACATCAATTTAATCCTCCTCAATCTTTCAAAACCGTTATTATCAAATATTCCGTTTACTCTTCCATCTCCCCCCACCATCATCATGTACCTCTCAATAGACCTCCATCAACCACAAAATCCTTTTCAGCAAATTATAAAATTATTAAATAAACTAAAAATTAATAAATGAAAGTGTTTTTTATGATATTTATTTCCAAATCATTGAAAATCGTATTGTTTATTAGAAATTATCTATTAAAATATCTCAAATTATATTCCACTATTGTTATTGAATACAGGCCTCAAGTATTGTTTAGAAACAACCTGCACTCTCTACTATCCATCCAATTTAATAGTCTTCTCTTTTGCCCACTTAAAATCAAAAATCAGATTCGTTGAATGATCCTGCTCATTCTACAATGACAACTACTGCTATTGTTTGATTTCCTTCTCAATGTTCTACTTCAATTACTGCCTTGCCTTCTTTACTTGCTCATTGTTCTAACCTCTCTGTTGATTCCTTGCTCCTGAATGATTACACTTCTTATCGTCTTCTTGATAGTTCCTCTCCTGCAACATAGTAATCAGGTGAAATCCCGTTATTTTGTGACACAATTGTTGTTTATTGTTGATAACAATCACGTTCTCCTTCTAATTAAGATTGTAGAAGATTTCCAGATATTGCGAGAATTGCATCTCATTGATTTGAGATGAAATGGGAAACCAAAATTGAATGTTCTTTTGGTATATTCTTTTTTCGATTTTCTTTTTGTTCAGCAACTATTCGAAATTATCATTATCAAATTCCGATTTGCTCAGGATAATCAATTTGATATCTAATTACAAGGGGAGAGATATGATCTAATCCAATTAACTAATCCTTTGAGGATCCTAGTAATCCATTAAAAAGATGATCAAATATTGATTCTTAATAATAAAGATAATTGCATACCTCCTACGAAACCACTATTTTATCCAGTTTCTCTTGATACTGCGAAGTTTCATCCACTGAAGTTGAATTAATAAATGAAATCTGGTACACATCACAAATAGGCGAGTACTCCTCATTTAAATTCCACTTATCAAGCATTATTTGACTTGTGATTTTATTCACTATTTCTTAATCAGATCTTCGAGTCAAACACTTCAGCAGTTATTTGGCCTAAAAGTAAATCTACTGCTTTTTGGGTTGAGCAAGATTGGCGATCCTGAAATTATCATAAAACTTGATCATCTTCCATTTATACTTGTAATTCTGATAGTTCTGATTTTGAATGTTGAATTGACTATTGATGATCTCATCTCCCAGACTCCATTGAATGTGCAAGATGGAATTGATAATTATTTACACTTAATTCACATATTGATCCTTGAATATTTATTGCAAAATCTAATAGATTCGTTCTTTATCTGGCAATTGGAATTTGGAGGATTGCTTAACAATCAATGTGTCATAAGAGGCTTTCCTGATGATGGTCAATATTTCTTGGGTCTTGCTCTCGATTTCATTGGCATTTTGCAGTTTCAATTGGGAAGGCATATAGATTTTCTATTGCAATTTCAAATCTTTATAAATCTTCTGGGTTGACAATTTCAATTTGAAATATTGAGAGAATTAAGAAGACTTCAATTAAAGTGCTTAAATAAGTTCTTTGATCATGATCTGCTTAATTGACTTGTAGATTTATTAATCAATATGTTTTTTATCCTGCAGAGACTTCTGAGTATGAAATTGGAGGCCTTTAGTATTAAATTCATTGATTTCTGTTATTTTGTAATTCTGAATGGTAATTATGGATGTGTTGGTGGATATGTGAGTTTGGGTTGAATCCAAAAAATTGAAAATGAGGGTTCCATCATCCCAAAACTACTCTTGATCCTCTTGATTTAAGAATTGAGTAAGTATTCTGGAATGAGAATCCGAATTCTAGTTTTTCTTTTATTTTTTGATGACTTTGGTGTAAAGATTTATAATTGTATTGTATCGATCCTCTTTGTCGTCGACTCCAATTATTACTGAATAACTAGGTATTATAGATATGATACTTTTGAAATGAATTGGTCTCAATAAACAAATTAATATGTTGGTTATCATTGTTGTCATCTTAACGAAAGACGAGCAAAAAGGGTTGATTAAGATCTTTAATGAATTGCAAAAGTGCATAACCGATATCAATCTGGTTGATGACAACTATTATGATGGTGGGATCTATTTGGATCTTGGAGATCTGATTATTGTAAAATCTTAGATTCAATTATTTGGGGAACAGATCACCTACTCTAAGCAGAGCTTGATATTTGAGACCCACTTTGTTTACTAGAGTATTTAATTTGTAATCTTGGAATCTAATTAGGAATTCCGATGTTTTTATGTAGATTTCTCTTAGCTGATTCGTGAGGACTGGGATCAAGTAGATGTTGTTATTAAAGGGGGAGTGGATGTCCTATTAGATGGAGGTTTGTAATTCTTTTAAATAGGGTCTGCAGGGGGAGAGATAATGATGAATTGATACATGAATTTGATTTCAATTGTTTTTGAAATGACGATTTAACTTTCTTGGAATCCGAGGAGTGTCAATTGTTCAATTAGGAATGCTTCAAAATTGGATTTGTTGGATTGATGGAATGGTTCAATGGGTCCTGATATGTATCCAGAAGCATTCATACATCCCATTAGTATTATATATTATAAATTATAAATTAATACTTATGTGACTTAATTTAAATATTATCTTTAAAAAAAATGAGTGGAAGCATGTATGATTTATCAGTAGCCACATATTCCCAAGAGGGACGTATCTATTAGGTGGAATATGCAACAAAAGCAGTTGAAAATTCAGAGTACAATTTGAATACATCTATTTAGGACTGTGATCGGAGTCAAGTGTAAAGATGGAGTCATTTTGGCAGGAGAGAAGTAAAAGTTTTCCAGATTGTTGGAAGACAACACAAACAAGAGAATCTATAATATCGACACTTAAACTGGAATGGCTATATGTGGTAAATTGCCAGATGGAAGAAACATCTTATAAAGAGCAAAAGCAGAGTCATCTCAATATTAAGACATGTATGCAATTCCAGCATCTGCCAATGTGTTGTCAGATAGAGTGGCACAATATGTCCATGCCTACACAATGTATTCTGGAGCGAGACCCTTCGGATCTGCAAGTATCAACACTTCTCTAATGTTCAGCATTCATTGCCAGTTACAACACTTTCGATGGTTATGAGTTATTCATGATTGAACCCTCAGGAAACAAATATGCCTATCATGCCTGCACTCATGGAAAAGGTAGAGCCGTTTGCAAGTCTGAGTTTGAAAGAAGAAGTTTCAAAGACCTTACTTGCTAAGAAGCCTTGGTCTACATTGCTAAGATGTAATGCATATTGTTTAAATTTCAGGTTGATACTAGCACATGAAGAATTCAAAGAGAAGAAATACGAATACGAAATGACTTGGATCACTGATAACAATGGACGTAAACATCAAAGTGTCCCTCAAGATTTGATTAATAACGCTGTATAATAAGCTGAATAATTAATTGAACAAGATTAAATGGGAGAATGATCATATATCTACATAAAGACAACCATAAATTAGTATTCACAGTTTAGACTATTCGACTTGGTATGATGGACAAAATCTAATTCATCAAATCTAGTTCATTAATTCTCATCTATTTAGGGTATTATTATATTTCCATTAAAGAATTTGGAATATTTCAATATTAAATCACATCTTGAATTTCTCTTTTTTATAGAATATTATTATAGATCTTCTTGAGGGTATAATGTTAAGAAATAATGCATTTATAACCCTATAAGCTTCTTAATATTGAAACTATATAATACTGATTACGGTAGTCAAATCTAGAAACAATTTATCGATAAAAGTTTAACATTATTTAATAGATAAATTAGATTAGAACAAATATAGTTTTGTATTTTAAAAAATGAAGCAAATATATTATTTAATATGAAATTTTCATTCTTGAAACATAATTTAGCCGACCTCATTAATAAGGCAGAACAACTAGATTCACCTAGCTCAATTATAAAGAAATTCGGTCCTTACCTTATGACTAGTTTATTTAATCAAAAATTATAAGAGAGTCAGGAAGTCATTAATTACATGGAGAAGAATATTGATAAAAGCACATTCATTCGAAACTTTACACATGATCCTCATGCTAAGAATTGGAGAACTAATTATAGAAAATCAATAGAAAGTTTAGCTTGCTCAATAATAGTTGATAATCAAAATATCATTGATAAGCATTACACAAATATATTAAAGGAAGAATAAATTACTTTAGCAGAAACACTGCCATTATCGTATACTTTGGTTATTCAAAAGTTAAAAAAGTGGAATATCACAAATGAATAAGAAGTCTTGCAAAAATTAAACAAGTTACTCGCTACATAAAAATAGGAACACTAAAAGATGAACATAAATCTTCTATATCAAAAACATTTTCTATCTGATCTTGCATTGCATTACCCAGAATTGTAGGCATATTCATAAGGTAAGATCTTATGTACAGAGCTGCCCTTAGATTATTTTATAGGATAATTGAAAATAGAGCATACTGATTTCTTTATAGAGAATAACTCTTTGATTGATTTAAAGATAGGAGATTCAGTTTATGTATTTATGTACCCAGATGAATTTGAAAATTAAACTATTAAAGCTTTTTTGTTAAAATATGTGAGAATCAAGAGGCTGTAAGAATTCCATTCTAATCTTCATGTTGTTTGGTGTTATAAAGGAATGAAAAAAGAAGAGTTATTTGATGCAATTTGTATCTGAGAGTTGTTTTTTATAATATATATTAATAATCAAGAAAATAAAATATGTAAATTTATGAATGAGCCTATATTCTTCAATCAAGTGTAATCTAAAAATAATCAAATTTATATCTACAAGTGAACTTATTTAAATAATTATAAATTTCTATATCTAATATTATGAAGGTGGAAATATAATTTATAATTGATTATTTTATACCAATTTTAAAGGCAGAATGATTAAAATGTGATTGTTGTTTCACTATCATATATAAACAAAAGAAAACTGAAGTTAAGTTAAATTTCATGAGTACTGAATGTAATAACATAGTTTTATTTATAAAGAAACTTATAACTATGAAAGTTATTATAATGAAAAATGATTAAGAATAATCTTAATTTTTAAAGGGAAGCATTTGCTAAACAAAAATATGAGGAAATTGCAGAAATTACTATTATTTTATAATTGTTTCAAATAGTATTGATTTTATCATCGTTTATGAATTTAAGCTGACATCATTCCAGTGGTTGTTTAATACATCTAAAGTTAATCCTTCTATACTTACATTTTAATATTATTTTTAGTCTGTTGCCCAAGGTGGCTATGCCTTGCCTTTTTAATATGATTAATATTGTTATTTCGAATCCAAAGACATTTGTTGCATCATCTAATCCAATTAATCCATCTTCTAAGGGGTTTATTATGGTTAGACTCTTTATTGTTGTACTTACTAGTTAACTAATTAAGGGTTTTATGATTATTAATGATTTTGTTGCGCAAATTATTATTGAGAAACATTAGTCGGTCTGTTATCGAAAAAGTATTGTGAATAGACCACGTAATTATTATTTTGAGGTATATAATTTTATAAATTGTAGTACTTCTTTAGGAATCCCAACAATTTTGGAGATGGTCGATCATAACCTAATTTTTCTGGTCTCAAAGTTTCTTATCTGAGCATTTCTTCAAAGAGCTCTTTGCCAATGCCTTTTCTTTGAACTGATTCATGTACGTAAAAGTCTAGGACGCACATTGGTTAGATTTCTTTAATTACTCCATTTAAATCTCTATGAAATAAGTTTTTTCTTCCTATTTTTAGAATTCCCAAACAAAGCTGACAAATATTTCATAGAATTACTTTTCCTTCTGATTTGATATACATCTTTTGATCCGTCTAAAAGAATCTGATTGGACTTGTAATAACTTATTTCAAATTTTAGGCCTAATTTAAATAGATGTTGATTACCAATGCAGAAGCCTCGCCCATGACAGTAATAACATCATCCAACTGAGGATTGCGTTTCTAGTTTCCATTCACTATTGTCATCCCATTCTCATTGACTGCCATGCATTTAGATAAGTAAAAGTTGAATTACATTGTGTTAATATTATAAATTAATATCAATCATGCGTGCTATTGTTGTACTCTCTCATATTATTCACTTGCTCGGTCTAACTAATAGAGTTTCCTTCTCAGCATAACACATTGATGTTGCAACTCCTCCCTTTCTCGTAAAATCGCCAAAATCAAATTGGTAGGTATCCTCAACAATTAAGCTTCGTTGCTTTCTACCAAAATGTTGAAGCACTCTTCATATGAACTTATCATTTATACTATCGTCGAATGATGATAATGTTCAAAGATTCTCTGGTAATCAGTCGATTTCCTCATCTAACTATCCTACTTTCTGTAAGAATAACTAAAGTCAAATTAATTTTGAACTAATTTTTGAGTACTATCAGCTTGATTTTCTACCTAAGTGCCCTTAGTCAAAGTGGTGTGCTTATAAGAACTCGATTTTTAATGCTCAGACTTTTTGATAGGTGTTTCCTAATTAAGCTTACGAAGAGGCAATATCTGAGGTTCGATATGCATTGCGATGGGCTTTGACAATTACCTAATGTTTTAGATAGATTGTTGCAATTTAGACTAGAAGATTGATGATTTGATTTAAGATTGAACTTCTAAGTTGTTTAAGATCATAATTTCTGATTGATCTCTTTCTTTAACTAAACTATTCATAAGTTGTAAGTAGTAATTTATTATATAATTTTATAACTAAAATTAATCAGATATATATGTTTATATAATGATGAAAAAAATTTAAATTTTTCAGTGTGGATGTACTAATTTGAGTAAGCCATGCATAATTTAATTTGTTATTTTTGTGATGATAATCATCTTGATCTAAGCATAGCAAATCAATAAGAGTTGTCTGCTATTGAATAAGTTCATATATAAGAATGGCCAAGGTGAAATTTTAAACTACATAAATGCACTCATTTTTATGATATAACTTGTAAGCATTAAATGAATATATGTAAAAGATTATTATAGGTTTAATTTGGTTATAGAATTTAACATCTTGCTTTCATTCTATCATTTCGAATGCATTTTTATCTATACAGAAATTGGCTCTATTTTATTCATGTTTATTTGTCATTTTTTTAACACAATTTCTTACTTAGTAACTAAGTCATTACTTGAATACTGTAAATTCATATCCAGAATTACAAATCTTCTAGTATTCAAAGCATTCAGTATAGATTTGAATGATATTTATTGAGTTTGTTTGAGTAAACTTCTGAAAATACTTATTTTATAATATAATTATGATTCTTAAAGTAATAAATAATAGAATCAGTAATAATAATTAAATTTATATGAGTGCAATTAGATTAATACGACCATCATTTGGATCCTCTTAAGAGATTTAGATTAACCCTTCTTGTTCTTTCACTCTAAAGTAGACTAAATCCCAAACTTTCATTCAAATGAAAATCAAAAGTACACCTTCCGGTAGTAAAAATTCATCATTGGCCAAATTAAACTCTCCTTATTAGCCTCATCAAAAAAGTTAATTTTCTACTAAAACTCATTATGATTCATAGGACATCCATTTTACACTAAAAGGATGCATGAGAATCTTTAAAGAGATTCAAAAGAGTTCTTTAAATAGTTAAAGTGAATTTGTCTTACTTGATGTAAAGGATAGGATGCATAACATTGAAAATATAATTGAAGAAATGCTAAATCATCAAAATAACAAAAATAATAATTAAAATAAGATCTCTTAATTTATGATGTTAATTATTGAAGAAAAAAAGTAAAAGTAATAAGCAATTCAATCAGGAGAAAACTTAATTAAATAGCAAGCAAATTAAATCTAATAGTTGGTATAATATTAATTAAATAATTTTAGAAGAATAGAATTTCTATTTATTCATGATTTTATTATTGTTTAATAATATTTATTATGAAATTACTTAATCTGTTACTAATTACTATTATTTTAACTATTTTAATGAGCTTCATCATCTTTATTATTCTTATCTTAAATGTTAATTGTACTTTATCTCAATATAATAAAATTTGTAAATTATTTTTATATTTAAAGATGACAATATAGATATGATAGAATATTCTTATAATCATTAAAAATGATTATAAGAATAATTTCTCAAAGAATAAAATCTCGAATTAAATGTTAAAAAACTTAATTTTTCAAATTCTAGATTAATTTAAATTATTATTTATCAAATTCTATTAAAAATTATGGAATAAAATAACAAGCTTGAGGTTATAGCCTCACTTATTCTAGAAAACTAAACACATAATGTTAATAGCTAATATTTACTTTGATAATTCCTATCGTTACGCAAAATTTTGCACTTAAGTAATCGTGATGAAATGATGGCTCATCCAATTACAAATTATTTCTATATTTATACTTCAATCAAATGAGAAAGGATAGATGCAACATATGGCCTCAACTCCTTGAAAAATTAATTTTATGGAAATTTTGCTTTAGCAGAATGTTCATTTTTAACACAAGAAGGAAGGAATTGAGAAATAATCTTCTTCACAGAGTGAAAACGTTATCTGAAAAACTGATATTCTTAAATATTTGATCACAAGTTTAGAATAATAAAGGGAAAAGGCAAGTGAGGAATACTATTAGAGAAAAGTACTTAAAATTGACAGAATTTATTTTGATACCATCCACTATTCTAAAATTACAATTCTACACAATTTATATTCAGGTAAGTTTAAAAATAGAAGGGAATTTAAGTTACTGTAACAAAAGAGGTTTTTTAAGACTTTAATTTTTCACAATTGATATATCAGATGATAAAAAAGATATATAAGAAGTTTTAATTAATTTTAATGTAATGATTAATATAGAGCTACTATAATTTATTTAAAACTAGAACTTTGGAGCAGCAAATCATAGTATATTTAAAAAAAGGGAAATTCTATTACAAATTTATCTTTAATTATATGATAAATTGTAGTTTGTATAATAGAATGATCATGAGATAATTAATAAACATAGATTCTAAAATCTGTTCAATCCAAAATTCTTATGTTTTCATTTCATTTAAGAAAAGTTAATAAATCGAGATTTCATAATCATTTTTCAGCATAGATAGAACAAGTTAAAAGGGGTTTTTACATATGATTTAAGTTAATAATTTAGAAGCTCAATCCATTCCCTATATTTATAGTTTTTAAATTATTGTTATAAATTTCAATATATGAAATTAATAATAATAAATATTTAAAATATTAACTTTAAGGAACATTCTAAATGTTCTAGATAGACAAATTAGTATATCAGTTCTCATAGAATTAATTACTGATTTGATATTATATATGAACCACAATGTAATTAAAGGATATGATGTAGAAATATTTTATAAGTTAGGATTTTGAATTTATAAATTTAATCTTTCTTAAAAAATGTTTATTATTAATTTATTTAGAAATGATTGCATTATTTTAGGTTTTGGATGGTTCACATGTATCCCTATCTGGTTCTAAGCTTAATATTCTATCAAAAGATAAATCAAATTCCACTATCTTAATATTTGATTCTGATCTCCTTTTGTTTCGGGAGTACTTGATAACAAATAGGAAGATTTAGACTGCATTCTGTGATCCAAACATACAGATTCTGCTTTTATTTGAAGAATAGGAATAAGAATAATTGACTTAGCTTTATTCAGCCAATTTAGAAAAATCTTTTACACCAATATCAAAAATATTGATTCCAGCTACTAAACTAAGAACTATAGATTGGTGTAATTGTAGAATTTGTGCATTAATTTTCGAAAATTGTGTTGTCTTATATGATATTTTGTTAAACAAAATTTTAACAAAAATTACATCAAATTATAATACTATATCTAGATTTTTAATTTCTAAAAAGCTTACTTAAATATTTTGTTAATATTAAGATAGAGAGAATAAATCGATATGTTTGGTATTAACAATTGAGAATTAGAATGAAGTATAGAAGTTTGAGAATTGTGCTTTCTTTAAATTAATCGAAGAAAAAGATGATAATAATTTGTTGATGGTCCAATATCAATCTAATAAAATGGTAATAATGTTGGCAAAATTTGATGAAGAATTTAGAATTGAGAGAAAAATTGAGTAATAGCTTTCTAATCCTGATTAAAAAATTATGAAAGTTGGATATAGAAAATAAACGCAAGAATTGCTTTTACTTGATTCAAACTAAAATTTGCATATTTATTCAATTAATTCAGATTTCTAGATAAATTTGAAAGCCCAAACTATTCCAAATATCATTTAATTTAATGTTTCTCTACTAAAAGAAAACTTAATACTCATTGACAATAAAAAAAATATAATTCTATAAAAATTGCCATCAGAGACACAAATAGAGCGTTTAACTTATTAAACATAAACTTTATCCTTAGCATCTCAGTTTAAAAAGAGAGCTATTTAGGGTATTTTAACAGATCCGAATATTTCTTAATAAACTAAACTATTTGTTCAGTAATATCGTACAGATTTTGATAACTTGAGCCCAAAATTTAAAAGTATACTAAATCTAAAATTTAAATCTCAGTTCTTACCTCTAGTTGATTTTAGAATTCTAAATCTTGATTAAAATCATAATTCAAAATTTAAAGAATTTATTCCAAAGATGGATACTTATGCTGAAACTCAAAGTGTGAAGAAGCATTTGATTTAATTAGAGGCTGCTCTCAAAGGAGATAATCCAATCTTATGTGAAGGTGGTGCTGCTTGTGGTAAGACTTCAATAATCTAATATTTGGCTTATAAAAATCAATAGCCACTAATAATCATGAATCTTAGTTCTTTTACTTAAATTTCTGATTTAATTGGCAAAGTTGAAATTTTACCAGGATTTAAATTTGAATTTTAACTTGGTCCTTTTGCTCAAGCTGTATAAGAGGGTTTGTGGATACTTTTGGATGAAGCTAATTTGGCAAGTGATTCAATACTGAGGGTTATTGAAGATGTTCTTGAACTTGGATACATCACTATCTATGGCAGTTAAATTAATTCTCATGTCGATTTAGTTGATGGAACCTTAACAATAAAGAAACATTAAAATTTCAAACTATTTTTAACTCAAAATCCAGCAACAGATTAAAAGTTTGCTTCTTCTAGAAATATTTTTTCTCCATCTTTGATGAGTTAATTTATTACCATTAAATTTGAGCCAATTAGCCCAAATGACCTACATTTGATTATTGACTAAATCATATCCTAGAAACAGTAAGAAATAAAAGAACAACTAAAACAACATATACCTAACTAATAATTATCTTCATTGCTAATGATAATTTATGAGGAAATTAAATAGAAAAATATGGATGATGGTCTGTTCACCATAAGAGATATTGTTTAAATTATTGATCTTTTCTTTTTATGCCTAGAATAAATGAAGGAGAAAGTTTTAGAAATATTAAGTTTTAAGGATTGTATGAAATTAATCTCAACATAGTTCATCTCATTATATAAAAATCGTGAACTAATTAATTATTAAATTGACTAAAATAAAGTTCTCTCTAACGCAAATAAGTTATTCTTCTCAACTAAAAATTAGAGAGAGTCTGAAATATAAAATTGGAACAGTAATTAGCCACTTAAATTTCTCTCATTCCATAAATATTTATTTCAAATGTTGACATTGTGTTATAAAACGAAAAGAGCGGCTCTAATTGTGGGACAATAATATTGTGGAAAATTATCAAGTGTTCTCCTTTGGCTTAAATTGTTGAATATTTCAAAATATGAAGTATTAGAACTATCATCAAATACCACTGCAGAAGATTTATTTGGTAAGTATCAACCAACTTAGAATGGTTTTGATTTCATCTTAGGACCAGTAACCAGATGTTTCCATCAAGGAAAAATTTTAATTCTTACTAATTTTGATGCCCCCGATTGTGCCTTGACAGAATCACTAAATGGTGTATTAGAAAAGAATTTTAACTAACTGGTAGTATAAAATCAAAAATACTAAAGACATGAAAATTTTGCTATAATTGCATTATCATCTGATTTGGAGCAATTAGAAAAAAAAATTACCCCATCTTTGAAAAGCAGATTCGTAAGTTTGTAAATAAAATTTAGATTGAATTTGAATGATATCACTTTATTGTTATAATCAATAGGACTAACAAAAAGAAATTTTTAATTTCCTAAAATTATTGATTAGCTGATGACATTAGGTAATAGCAAGGATACCTCAAATTTGGGAAAAAAGATTGAACTGATCTCATTTAATAAGATAATTAGATTTTTAAAACCTATTTAAGAGATATAAAAGTTTGCTAAATCTTAAAATAATTAAGTTTTATAACAAAAAATTTTTGAGTGTATTGATTTCTTCTTAGCCTTTTGTTTGCAAGATAATAAATCCATTTTGAATGATAATATAAAAGTACCAATAAATTACCAAGAATTATTATTAAATAATGGTAGGTAAAATAATTATGTCATTACTGAATCAAGGAAAAGGGTTGCAGACATTATTGCAACTGCTATTAATGCTAAAGTTCCGTTAGTTTTATAAGGATCAGCAGGCGTTGGAAAAACAAAACTTATTTCTACATTCTAATAAACATGCAAATTATTTGAATCAACTAGTTTTCATTATATCAATATGAATTAAAATTCAGAGTTAAATGATTTAATGGGATAATTTGTATCTACAGGCTAGAAGGATAAGATAGAATTTACATTTAAAAAAGGTCCATTATTTTTAGGGATGGAGTAAGGTGGCATCGTTCTTATAGATGAAGCTAATCTATCAGATGCTAGCATACTTAACTTTTTAGCTAATGTAGCCAAGTATCCATCAGAATTTCATGATCCTGTTTCGGATCAAATAATAAGGGTTCATGAAAAATTTCGAATCTTATTTGCATAAAACCCTCCATCCTATAATGGCAGAAATTTGCTCCCAGACACATTAGCATCTAAAGTTATAGTGGTCAATGTTCCAAATTATATTTTGGAAGAAGTACTTTAAATTTGCACCGAATCTTAGCCTTGTGTGTAAAATGAAAATTAGATTTTCATTAAAAGAGGTATGGAATATTTTCTAACCAAATTAATACAATATCCTAAAGATGGTAATGAAAGATAGCTGAATATTAATGGTACTTAATTTACTTTAAGGTAATTCATTAGATTTCGAAATCGATTAGCGAGAACTGGTTTCTCTACAAACGAGCCTAATTGGGAAAGCATTTTACAATTACATTAAATGATACTTTTTCCGAAAAATGCCTATGAAGAATATAACTTAGAATCTTAGATAAATAAAATTGGATAGAATTTATTTTTTTCGATTAAAAATCAATAAGCTTAACTACAAATAGCTCTTAAACTTAAGAATAAAATTTTGAAAAAATATGAGACATTAGTTCAAAATTTAAACTCAATTTAAAGATTAGTATTCTGCAAAATAGCATTTTGCTATTATTTTAAAGAAAATATTCTAATTTCAGGAGAGACCTCTTCAAAAACCTACTTGTCTAAATTGTTTTCAGAATTGATTGAATTTTAGAATCCAAATCCATTTGAATTAATTTATGTAACTTCTGAAACCAATATTACTGATTTAGTTGGCAGTATGGAGTCTCATACTAAAAGTTCTTATCACCAATATTGTTTAAGTTTGATAAGAAGATTTAATTAGAATATGAATTAAAATGAAAAAAAAACTATCGAAGATCATTTATAAGAATTAAAATAAAGCTATGATTCACCAGAATTCTTTGATCAAACTATTAAAAATATAGGCAATTAATTTCCCTTTATTGAAAGAGGATTGACATTTAATGCTAGATTCGGTGGGGTTTTATGTTTAAAAAATATATCATTGGCAGAATAATCTGTTATTGAAGGATTAAATGCTTTATTGGAGATTGAACCCCATTTTATTGTAAATGGAAAAGAAATTAAATTACATAATGAATTTATTTTGATTGCAATTATTAATAATACATTTGGAGGTTAATTAAGTGATGCATTATAGTCAAGATTTACAAAAATTCGAATTCAAGTTCCAGACCTTATTAATCCTTCTTAAGAAATAGATATTTCTTATGAAAAATATCTTATTAATAAAATCCCAGATATAACTTAATAAAAAAATATTATTTAGTTTATAAAGGAACTTCTTATTAGTACAAAATAATATAAGGAGCTTTTCTATTAAAATATATCTAATCGCAAATTCTATTAATGGATGAGCTTTTTGAATTTAGATTTGGAGGCAACATTTTAATAAAAATTAGCATTAGGATTTTAATTTGTGATTTTGGATAAATATAAAGTAAATTTTGAAGAAGTCATTACGAATCCTGAACTTTAAGAACACTATTAATAAATTTAAAACAAAATTTAACTTAAAATAAAAGAAAAATAATTTTTCAATTCTCAAAAAATCATTATAAACCCAATTACTAATAAAATATTATAAAGAATATATTCAGCATTTTCTACAAAATATATACCTTGCCTGATAGGACCACCTGGAGTCGGAAAATCTGCCATTGCATAGGAACTTGCTAATATAACTAAAAAAAAATTCTGCAGAATTTGTTGCTCAGATTCTTTGAGTGCTGAAGATTTATTTGGATCTTATGCACCAAAGATTGAAAATGATAAAGTAGTATTCGTTTTCCAATAGGGTTGTTTGGCATAAGCAATATCTTCAAACAGCCTTATTCTATTTGATGAAATTAATTTAGTATCTCCTGAAATATTAAGCACTCTTTAAGCTTTATTTAACACTGATGAAAAAGAAATTACAATAAAAGATAGTACATTTATTAAAGAAAAATGCATATTTTTATGCTCAATGAATCCCACTACATATTAAGGAAGATAAGAATTACCTTAATGCATATCAAATCTTTTATGCGAAGTGTATATTGAAGCATTCAATATTGATCATGTAATTGACATATTTAAATTGAAATACTAAAAGGAGATCATATAATTATAAAAGGCTGGAATTAATTTTAATATTATTTTAGATTTACACAAAGAGCTTGCTTTATTAGACTAAGAATAATAAAAATCCAACTATGACTTTAATATAAGATTTTTGGAAAATCTCTTGTCTCTTTACAGCTAATATTTTTTAAATCAAATATAAAAATTAAATAATGAAAACCTTAAATTAGAATTAATAATTGTTTGTTTAGATATTATATATGTTTAACACTTTTATTAGACAGAATTTTCACAATAAGTACTAAAAATAATATTGGATAAATTCGGCTTAAGTTAAGATTAATGGAAAAAACGAAGAGTTTTCTTAGAATAATAGGGAAATGTAATTAGAATAAGTAGATAAATCGGAAAGGATTTTATACCCATATTTGATTAGGTTTTATCAAATTAGGTCATTCCTTAACTTTCCAATAATTCATTCGTTGTTAACCTACAAAACTCTATTATTTTAGAGAAACTCTTTATTGCAATTAATTCTAAAAAAGTAATATTATGTTAAGGGGATGTTTCATCTGGGAAAACCTCATGTGTTATTAAAATGGCAAATCTTTTGAACTAAAGGTTCATTTTGTTGCCAATTCATAGTGATTTAGAAACTGATGATTTACTTGGTAGTTTTGCTTAAGTGAACCCTAATCATGATGAAATTTAAGTGGAATTAGAGAGGTTATCAAAAAAATTCATATTGAGAAGATAAGTAATTGGATAACAATAAAAAGAGATGCGAATGAAATATGCTGAAGGAGTATTAAAAATTTGTTGTAAATTTGGTTATTGGTTAATTTTGGATAATATTAACCTAGCAAGAGCTGAAATAGTAGAAAGGTTAAATTCCTTAGGAGAAGATTAGCCTTGTTTATTTAATAATGAATTTGGTGATTCAAATACTTGCATAATTCCACATGAAAATTTTCGTTTAATATGTTTGTAAAATCCAACGAGAGTAGATTAAAATTAATTGTCTCCTGCCTTTTATAATAGATGTATTAAAATTAATTTTGAAATTGATCTAAAACATAATTCAAACGATATTATTGAGATTTTAACCATAAAAGGTTTAGGGTAATAATCAATTCAACAAGATAATGTTGTTCTGGCGAGTAATTTATTAAAGTAAGTCATATTTATTAAAGAACATACAAATGCTTTAATTAATATAAGAAATGTTATAAAAGCCTTCAATATGATTCAAGAAAATGGATTTTAATAGTATGATTAAATAATGGAAATTGTTTTTGGCTCAGAATTTAAAGAATCCAAAAAAAATCCATATTTTCCCATTTTTGATTTAAAGTCTCATAATGTTACAGATAATATTATGGATAAATACACTGATTCCATATTAAATAAATTAGTCTCAAACACATTAAAATAGATAACTGATTAACCCAAAAAATTTCTAGATTTTATAAATATTAGTTAATTTTTAAAAGCAAACTTGCTAGAAAAAGAAATTTAGGTTTATTAAAGGTTCATTTAAGGTATAAGCCAATAAATCTGTCTAGTTAATTTTGTAGAGGAGAACTAATATGATTTGGGATGTTATAAATTTCAAGTAAAAGGAGAATTAATTAAATATGTTGGTTAACAAACTATAAAAATATATCCAACATTTTTGTCCTTATTTATATAAAGCAAAGTATTGAAGAATTTGTTAGTCAAATCTAAATTTGTATTTTAGGAATAATCTATTTTAGCTGAGGCAAGGTTAAATTCTGAAGGTCAAATGTTAGTATCGTTCTAGTAACCAAATGATTTATTTTTGGTTCCATTGATTAAGTCTCTTATTGGACCATCTTATTAATAGTTTTTTAAGATTTTTAAGCATATGCTCTCAAAATCTGAGATTGAATGCTCAATATATCTAGATTAGCATATAGAACTATTCTTCAATTTTAAATTACTTGATTATTCATTATCCTACATCCCCAATCTTTAATTTAAGAATATATTTGGACAAATTTCTTTAAATAAAGAGAATATTATTACATAATTTTCACTAAGTTGTGATTTATAACTTGAATTAAATTAGTATTTTATTAAAAAAGGTTTCTTTAGCAGAGTGCATAATTTAAATTCACATAGGGGTGAGATTAGTATTCCCCCTGAAAGTTAAATTTTTATCTTTTAAGATTACAATTGCTTCAATTTATTTTCAAATATAAATATAGTTTAATCTCCAAAGTTTACCTCATATATAGATCTTGAGGAAAGAAAAGTAGAAATAAATTTAGAATGTGAAAATTCTATTTAAATCTATAAGTTGCCATTTCATATTAGAATAAATAGAATTTTCGTTTATTTCTTATTAAAAGAAAAAATTACTCTAAATGGAAATATTCAATGTACATTTCAGATATTTGATAAGGATTTTTGTAGTTTAAAGGCCCAAATTGATAAATCAAAGTTAAAATTACAGTTATCTTAAGGATAGCATTAAATTAATTGTTAAAATTTCATTAAATAATTTTTTTTGAATTATTTTGAGAGCAATAACATTTTTATTTAACAGTTTGTGGAGAATTAAAAGACTATTATAAAGAAATTGGATTTAATCACTAATACACTATACTGGAATTATGAATTTAATTTTTAAATTGATTGGAAAATGAAAATTTTCAAAAATATTATTTTAGAAATGAAAAATATGGATATCTATTGTCATATTGATCCTTAGACAACGAACTTTACTATTTGTTTCACTATTGAAATTCTTAAATTTTGTTTTGAATTTTATGTTGATTTTGACTTTTTGTCTTTTTTTTCCAAATAAAAGAAAAAGTAATTGACGATGATTTTAAAAAGTGGAAAAAATTCTCCTCTTCTAAAAGAAATTATTGAGGTATTTTCAAAAGAATTGAAAAGCAAATTATAAAATATTTCTGGATTTAATTAATAACAAACCAAATAATTCAAGAGGAAGGAAGATTCTCCATAATTATTCAATGCTGATAACTTTAGAAAATTAGGAGAGTAACTTTCATAATAATTTGAAGAAAAAGTTCATTAAATCCACAATGATCTTGGATCTAAATTACGCATCGAAAATTCTTAATCCAATTTGAATGAAAAAATTGAAAAAGAAATTAAATTAAATTATCAAGAAAATAGCAATTAGAAATTTAAATTATCTCAAGAATCTTATATAATATGGGATGATTAGATTGAGTTGAAATTTAGCGTCGATCTATTAAACCAATGGAGTGTATCCAAATACTTAACCCTTAGTCAATGTTGTTTAAATATTATAGCAAAAAATTAAAGTTTTGATCTGAATTTAAATGGCTTTATCAAAATTATGAATATGACTCTAAATAAGTTTTAGTTGTTACTAACTCCTAACAGCTTGCTTGATTTAAATATCGAAAATGAACCCTTAATAATGTAGATCAATCCAATTAGTTTCGGTTTTGGCTTGCTTGATTATTAGTTTGAAGATTTAGATATATTTCCTAAATTAGATTAAATTGTTGGATTTTAATACAATATGTTATCTCAAAAGTTTAACGGAGAGTTTAAAGTTGGGAAATAAAATATTAAGCATAACCTTTCTGGTTTATAGTTTGAGAATATTTAACTAGTATTTGGTTCATCTGATAATTTAAAGAATACCTTCGCAACTTTGGAAATAAAAGTCATTTTCTTTAAGCAAGAAATTAATTTTTATTTATAATTTTAACGCGAATAAATTAATAAACCTAAAAGTTTAATTAGATAATTACAATTTACTTCCTATGCATTAAAGAATTTTAGTTTTAATGAATTCTTAGAAAATAGTGTTGGAATAACTCTTTCATAAAAAAAATTACAGTTTAATGTTGAAAATTTTGAGTTTTTTTTAAAATTAGAAAAGAATTTATCTTGGAAACATTCAATAATATTATAGATATAAAACAGTTAATGTCAAATTTTAGAGAATTTTGTAAGACTTCAAAATTTGAATGGTTTGATTCTTTATAAAAATTAAAGTTGGGTGGACAGTTGTATATCAGGAATATGCTTTGTTCGAGATTTTAACTTAGGATCTTTTAGTCTAACTTTTAACAAAGAAGTAAATGGACTTGAAGCTAAATTTTAAGTAAACCCTAAATTTGAGACGAAAGAATTTTTCTTAACTATTCATAATAAATAATTGAATTTCATTTTTTTTGAGAATATAGGACATGATGAAATAAAAGTTAACTTGGGTCTTTATAACAATAAAACCATATTCGAGCTTAAAGAAGAAGTTAAAATATTCTCATGGAGTAATATCTCAGCTTTAAAGTTGAAAAACATTGTCTTCAAGTATTTTGTAAGTGAAGAGATTGAAATAGAAAAAAATTCAAATTTTTAATTTGAAATAGAAATTTTTGATGATATTAATTTGAGAACTAAAATAACTATGCTACCTAGGACCACCCT